TTGCTAGGTCTTTGGCGCCCCTGGCGGGCCTGTGGTGCCCCTGCTAGGCCGCTGCTGCCCCTGGGCCCTGACAGGACTGTGGTGCCCCTAACAAGCCTGAGGTGCCCCCCACAGGCCCGTGGTGCCCCTGACAGGCCCAAGGTGCCCCTGCGAGGCCGGTGGTGCCCCTGACAGGCCCAAGGTGCCCCTGCGAGGCCGGTGGTGCCCCTGTGATGCCGGTGGTCCCGTCGGTGACCTCCGTGATGAATTAAAAAAAACTCCGTGATGGTGCCCCCTGGGAGGCCCAAGGGGGGGGGGTGGCACGGCCCCCATGCCCCTCCCTGGATCCGCCACTGGGGAGCACACCCGTGGCCGGGTGCAGGGAGTACTTGGGGCCTGTATATTCGAATGGGCTCAGTCCCGGTGACTCGGTAGGGTGCCTGCCCAGTCTAATGTCTCCCCCAGGCCACCGCACACTAGCCATTCGGCCGGTTCATTCGGCCGTTACAGCAGCGATTTTCTCGCGCGAGTCTTTATATCGGCCGAAACAACGAACCAACGACGGTGCATTCGGCCCATATTATTCAGGCATTCGGCTCAAGCGATGTTCACGCGACGACCGAAAAAAAGTTCGACCGGTTGAACTTTTCTCGCCGAAGCAGTCATTTAGCGGCCGAAAATCAACAGCCGCCATATTGTTTTCATACAACCTTGACAAGTCCGGTTGTTTACATTCCAATCATTTTCGATGTGAGGGGCTCGTGTGGTGTGGAGTTGTTTGCGATGGAAATGAAGTAAGTATTCGAATGAATATCTGTGTTGTGTATTTTGTCAATTGCATATGTGATTCAGATTGAAATGTTGTTTAAATATTGGTTTCAACCATCTCTGCTCCACTTTTCATTTCAATTTCAATTTCCATTTCCCCATTTTCTCCATTTGCCATGATTATACATAGTCAGTGGGCATAAATTTGTCTACTACTCAATGCCACAGTAGGTATTCTTGGAAAATGGCCATTTATTATCCATATAAGCAAATATTTTCTGCTTTTGCCAGTTAACTTGAAATGCTGGACACAAGTTCTAAGTTTCAAGGAGCTATTCTTAAATTATTCCATCAAAATTCAAACCTTGCAAGTCAAAGACATTGAAAGTACCTGTAATGTTCTCATATAATGTTCTTACCATGCAATCTGGGTTTTTATTTATCATTTTATTCACATTGCCTCCGACAGGCTACTGTCGCACTAATGTCAATGTGTCACATATTAGATATGTAGGTACTTCATGGCATGGTTGGTGAAAGTGTTGAGCACAACTCTTTCTTATGGTACAAGAAGTGCCATAATTCAAAATCTTGATCTGAGTTGTCAAAGTATAATAGAAATTCCATTTTCAGAGTATTTTTTCCTTTTCTGTGTTTCTGCCAGATCAAGATGTTGGTTGTGTCAAACGCGGGGCCATGAAAGAAAAGTCTGGAACATTGTAAAGGCTTTATGGGATGCACACAAACACTTGCATGCAATATTTGCATTGAAAGAGTTGTGAGATCAGCATGCTGAATGTGTTTTTTTGTGTTTTTGTCTGCTCTACAGGAGCTCATTTTATGTTAAATAAAATGTAATGGCACTGAAATATAAAAATAGCCACCTGTCCTTTCTGTAGTAGGTAACTATTCACCATTCAATACTGTTTTGTGTATCATTTATTCCCCAGAGATCTTTCACAATAGTGATAGTTTTCTTCTCTGCCGGGTCAATGAACCAGGTGTCCACTCCAACCAGTGCAGATCCACCTTTGTGTACAGTTGTACACATTTCAGTGTGATGAGCGGACCTTTGATAGCTGTTCCACCAACCCGCCTTTAGATGGCGCGCGCGTCTCCCAGCAGGCAGCAGAGGCGACATCTACTGTCGGCTCAGCCGGTGTGGAGGGTGTACCGAGTGTCATTACCTGATACCTATAAACACGCCATTGCAGTGGCCTCACTCGAGGTGGGCTGGACCCAAGAGGATGGATGACTCGGGCTAAAACGATGACGCGGGTCGTGGGCCCAGCAGCACAACAGGTGGCGTTCAAAATTAACAAAGTCCCTATGTTTTCAGTTGGGTCGGAGAAGTGGATCTCATTCAAGCGGTACACAACAAGCCAGTTTCATGAAACACGAGTCTTCCTGGACGATGCGGCACCAGCTGAACCGCAAACGGCCGGCGCACCAGCTCTGTCCCCGGGGCCGGCGCCCCGGCAAGCAGCACCAGCTCCAAGGCCGGCGCTCGGGCCAGCCCCGTCTCTGGAGCGGTCGGTGCCGGCATCACCAGTGTCCGCAAGGAGCAGCCGTGCCCAGTCGAAACGCTCGCAGCACTTCAAAGTGTACAACAGGTGGCTAAACCGTTGAATGATGCCGACCTGACTTTCGGTCAGTGTGTAAAAGCGGTTCGAAAAAAAGCCATCGCTCCCGGAACTTCCGCTCACTGGCGCGCGACGTCTCCTCCGTCGGCTCCGGCAGGTACACTGCACCGCGGACGTTCACGATCGCGCAACAGATGTACACCAACGCGCGCGTGGTCGACTCCGCGAGCCGGTAGCTCGGCGCCAGAGCGGAAAAATCAGCCCCCGACGCCAGATAGTGGAGTGTAATCGCCAGCCGCAGCGGTGCGCTCACCGGCTGGAGGAAGGTGGTGGTCGAGCGGGTGATCTGGCTCTCCAGCTCAGTCGGAAATACTGAACCTGTGTCGCTGGGGGTCGTTGAGCCGAAGCTCCTGCTCTCGGTTGGCGTGCTCGCCCGGCTCGTCTCGGCGCTGTAGCACGTCGCTGACCCCATGCGCCGGACCAAGGGTCTGCGTCTCTCCTGCACCCTTTGGAGTGCCAGCTTGAAGTACAGTATCGCGATGGCTAGTTGAAGTGTGTACGGGTTGTTTGGTGGCTCAGCATGCAGATAACTAAATCTTTTGGTCCCAGAGCATCAATACAATGCACATTAATGTTGCTAAGTTTGGTTAATCGCTTGCGATATGCTCAGACCATTTAGACCTCAATAGTCGGTGTACTTTGCTCAATGTTTGTTTTTAACAGCCAATTTGTTTTCATTATCAAGCAAGCTACATACTCCAACTGCAATTAACCTCTAATTTTGTTTCTTTTTTGAACGATGCACTAAATATATGAAGCTGGATTCTATTTGGTCTTTTCCAATATTCATTATAAAACATTCATTACTTGCGCTCTTGGAATTCGGTTACAACAGTTTAGGCGATATTTCAACGACGATATTTCTGCTCTAAGCGATTCGGCCATTCGGCCGATATAGACACTTGCGCGAGAAAATCGCCGCTGTAACGACCGAATGAACCGGCCGAATGGATAGTGTGCGGTGGCCTTTCCCAAGGCCGTATACTAATTCCTATAATTCTCCCGGCTCTGAAATGGTCTCGTCGTCAGACCGAAAGAGCTTAACCCAACAAAATAGACAAGAAATGGCCATAGTGTGGACAACAATGCTTAAATCACTGGTTTTCAATCAAACAAAAAAAGCTTACCTGCTGACTATTTTAGTCCTTGCTTAACTGTTATTGACACTTTACTCTTACCCTTTTTACCGCAATTTTTGTTCAGTCATAATGGTCCTAAAATCTGAATGTCTTCCAAATTTTAACCCGCGACCTGGTGGGGGGGGGGGCTATTTTTTGCCCCCCCCCTCCAGACTTTTCGATATATCTCCAGAACCGCTGCGCCGATCGTCACCAAACTTTCAGTACCCTCCCGGACATCAATTTTACACATTGTGACCAAAATTTTCCAAGGGCTATGATAGGTTGGCCGGAAATGACGTCAGAGTGACGTCATGTTCTGCCGTTTTCGACCCAAAAAAGGGTTTCGCGGGAAGAGCTGTCAGGCCTATAGCTTTGCAAATACAGAAAAATGATAAAGACATAAAAGCTGTAGAATGGACAGGGCTACAAAACTGCTATCTCGGATTTTTTAAATTTTTGGATTTTGACCCCCAAAAATCAAAAAATATTTTTTTTGGATATGATAATCGAAAAATCCAAAAAGTTTTTTGAATTTCGCAAAAACCGGAATATATGTGATAGTCCTTACCGCCTTCCATCCACATACCAAATTTGAGATTGATACCTCTTTTTTTGGCGAAGTTATAGCGAAAGAACTGTTCAAAATTGATGACGTCAAATTTTCAAACTCAATTTTTAGCAATTCTAGACCCCGTAGCGCAAAACAAAGACCACCATTAGACTCCCCGTGACGAGCTGCATCGAATCAATACCCATTTTATGCAAAACTATCAACTTTAAAATTTGACCTTTTTTGGCCTGACCTTGACCTGACCTTGACCTGCACTTCACCAGAAAGTGACCTAAGCCGTACCTGATAGTCTTTCAACCAACACCATTGAGTTGGAAATGAAAAATTGGCCATAAAACATGCATCACACAACCTTAGTAAAGTTGGGCTCATGTGACCTGACCTGTGACCCTTGGTGACCTGACCTGTGACCTGAACTGGTATTGTCAGTGACCTCTAACAGCAACATATCTACTAGGCAACTGACGCCCTATCGCTGATTCTCGACAAAATGCGTTTTCCTCGGTGTTATAGCGCATTCCCTAGAAGACCCGTGAACGGTGAAACATTTCATCTTTGACCTGACCTGTGACGTCATCGGTGACTCTGAGGTCAATGAAATTTGGTTTCCTTCGACAAATTTGACAGGCCTTTCGAACGCCGTTTGAATTTTGCGGATCCGTCCAGTAGTTTCGGAGATACGAGGGGTGGGGGGCAAAAAATAGCCCCCCCCCCCACCAGGTCGCGTTATAAACAGACCTCACCAGGGCGCGGGTTAAGAAAACACAACATGCGGCATATGCATTCCTTTAAATCCACATCATCCACATCGATTCACATGCATAGGTATGATAGGCACACATACCAGGAACGGTCGAACGGTAGAACAGGAACGGTCCACTAAAATATGCATGCCTCGTGCCTGTTCCGCGGTTTCAGCTGTGAGATATCTGCCGTGGTCTTGCTGGACGGTGCCAGAGATGCAGCGGGTGCCAAGCTGCCGAGACAGCTGGGCCGGCTCACTGAAAAGGTGCACCGGTCAATTCGCGTCGCCGCCTCCAGACAACGCGAGGACATCTTCCCGCCTCTTGCTCGCACAACGTTCGTACAGGTAAACAGACTGGCTGGATTTACCTTCAACAGAAGGTAATAATCTTTAATCTCACCAAGTGCGGTAAACTCATTTTGCGGTAAACTACCCCGGAATGAATCTTACCAGTGCCGTTATTTTCAAAGCTACCGCATTTTCTTTTTTATATAACTCAACGTTTTTTTCTAACCGGTTCTAACCGGGTGGCCCATAGAAAAACGTTTCCAACTTTGAATCAACATTTCTCGAAAAGGGATAAATATACAACAGTGAAACTTCAATGTCAACAGTGAAACATCAATGCTACACATATTTTCAGTACATTGTCTGACTTCATGCTATTCGGTGAAACACTTTGAACTATTCGTGTTTCAATCCCTGTCCCTGTAGTACAATGCCCCGCCTGTTTCTGTTGTAGGTGGTCCGCCGTCTCTCTGCCCCGGTGATACAATGTCCCGTCTGTTTCTGTTGTAGGTGGCCCGCCGTCTCTCTGCCCCGGTGATACAATGCCCCGTCTGTTTCTGTTGTAGGTGGCCCGCCGTCTGTCTGTCCTCAGTCCTGTTAGTACAGTGCCCCGTCTGTCTCCGTTGTAGGTGGTCCGCCGTCTCTCTGCCCCGGTGATACAATGCCCCGTCTGTTTCTGTTGTAGGTGGCCCGCCGTCTCTCTGCCCCGGTGATACAATGCCCCGTCTGTTTCTGTTGTAGGTGGCCCGCCGTCTCTCTGCCCCGGTGATACAATGCCCCGTCTGTTTCTGTTGTAGGTGGCCCGCCGTCTCTCTGCCCCGGTGATACAATGCCCCGTCTGTTTCTGTTGTAGGTGGCCCGCCGTCTCTCTGCCCCGGTGATACAATGCCCCGTCTGTTTCTGTTGTAGGTGGCCCGCCGTCTCTCTGCCCCGGTGATACAATGCCCCGCCTGTTTCTGTTGTAGGTGGTCCGCCGTCTCTCTGCCCCGGTGATACAATGCCCCGTCTGTTTCTGTTGTAGGTGGCCCGCCGTCTCTCTGCCCCGGTGATACAATGCCCCGTCTGTTTCTGTTGTAGGTGGCCCGCCGTCTGTCTGTCCTCAGTCCTGTTAGTACAGTGCCCCGTCTGTCTCCGTTGTAGGTGGTCCGCCGTCTCTCTGCCCCGGTGATACAATGCCCCGTCTGTTTCTGTTGTAGGTGGCCCGCCGTCTCTCTGCCCCGGTGATACAATGCCCCGTCTGTTTCTGTTGTAGGTGGCCCGCCGTCTCTCTGCCCCGGTGATACAATGCCCCGTCTGTCTCTGTTGTAGGTGGCCCGCCGTCTGTCTGTGCCGGTGATACAATGCCCCGTCTGTCTCTGTTTTGTAGGTGGCCCGCCGTTTGTCCGTCCCGGTGATACAATGTCCCGGAGAGGCGGACCGCCGTGCCGCCGCCGTGGCACGACGTCTCGGCTGTGCCGTGCTCAGTGACGACTCGGACCTCTGCGCCCTGGGCGCGCCCGTGGTGCGGCTGACGCCCTGGCAGCGGCCGTGCACTGCGCCGCACGCGGCGCCGTTCATGAACTGCGTCGTGTTCCGTCCTGAGAGGTAGGTGGTCCGTGACCGTCTGTGTGTGGGGGAAGAGGAGTCAGAGCAGTGCAGCCGGGGCCCGGGAACCTGGTACTCGGAAAATGGGGGATAGTGTGTAGTGACCAATAGACGGTCCGGCCATATTTTGTGTCACAGTGTCCTCAGCTTTTGATCGTTCACTACTACTTAATTCATATTAGTATTTAGTTCGTAACAGGACTGAATGTCACCTGTTAGAAAGTAACTTTAAAAGAAGTTTTAACGATATAGTAGTGCAGTAATGATTAACCACGAATGATGTATCCTAAGCTAAAGCATCCTGTTTTCGATTTTCTCTGCGACACTAATTAGACGCGGTTTCATTGTCGGCATGGTCTGCGTTTCCCCGGTCGTTCCCGACAGTGGCGGTGGCGGGGTGAGCTGAGCGACCGCCGCGGCGCGCGTCCGAACCCCGGTGACGCTGTCAGTGCACGGGCGGCAGGCTGCTGAGCCACTACAACGTCTCTGCCGAGCATCTGCCGCTGCTGGCCACGCTGCCCGGCAACGACACGGTGCCGCCGGCCGCGCTGGACCCGTTCTTCCGGCGACTGTACGCGGCGCACGGCTCCCGAGCCGGCGGACGGGAGCGGCCAGGGCAGAGGATCAAGACGCTGCTCCGCTGGCTGGCCACGCAGACATCGCGCCAACAGGCGCTAGACAAGGTTAGCCGGGTACCGGCCGGTACCCTACCTTATAAGGAATGTGCTGACTTCTGTGAGCTCGAGTTATGCTGTTCTTGGCCCGACATTGACCTTGATTGCGCTAGGGGCTCCACCCATGGTAATTTCTGCCGCAGCCCTTGACTTGTCGCCGACATTAATTAACGTTGACGTTTGCTATTGCCAGGTGCTCAGCACGCTGCCGGAGAAGGACCGCGCGGTGGTGGAGGCGCACGCGGCGCTGGTCGCCGCCGCCATCGCCGACGACTCGTTCGAGTTCCTGCGTTCGGCGCAGCCAGAGCTGTACGGTGTCCTGGTGGAGCGCTCTCCGCCCGCCGGGGATCCGCCGCCGGTCGGTGCCGCTAGTCTGCCGGTGGCGGGCGCGGTGCTACCCGCCTCCGTGCTGGACGCGGCCGGGGGAGCGCCGGCGCTACTGGAGCCGGCCGTGGAAGTGTCGACGGCGCCTGCCGCGGCTCTGGCGGCGGCGCCGCTCCTGGCGCGGCTCGCCTCGCTGCTGGCCGGCCGGGAGCGCGCAGTGACCCTCTACCTCCGGGAGGGCCGGCGGGTGGCCGAGCGGACCGTCGCCGCCGCCTTGCCGCCGCTGCAGCCGTCGGGGCCGACCGCCGACCCGGCCACGCGCGAGCTGGAGCTGATGACCGTGCTCGGCGTTAGCCCGGCTGCCGTGGCTGGCGTGCCGGCGCCGCTGCGACTGCTGGCCGCGGCGCTGGTGGTGTGGCGGCGCGCCACGGCCGGCCGCAGCAGCCGCCGCGCAGTGTGCGCCGCACTGCTGGCGTGCGTCGCCCTGGCGCCGGAGGTCACGCTGCCGCCGTCCGCCGACAGTGCAGCGCGCTGGCGGGAGAAGACTGTTCCGCTGCGGCAGCGGCCGGCCTCCGCGGCGCCCCCGCTGGCCTCGGTTCACCTGCACTACGAGCTGCAGTATGTGCTGCTGATGGCTGTGGCCGCCAACGAGGCGCTGGGCGTGCCTCTGGCAGCGCTGGATGTAGACCGGGTGGTGCACGGGCCGCTGTCGCTCGCCCTCGGATTCTGCGCCGTGGAAGAAAACGGTACGTCAGTGATAGGGAGAGGAGGCGCGATGTCGGCGGTTATATTGCGTAATTTCTGGCACAGTGGGTGGCGGTCAGGCGTTGATATTTGTCGTTATTGAAGTTTAAACGACTTTTCTCAATTTGCGACATTGTGACAGCACGACCAACCTGATTTGTTTGTTTTAGTTTTTGAATGATTAGTGTCTTGCAATCATCGATTGTTCTTGCTCAGTGACGTTAAAGTCGAGTTCTTACCTACCAACTCGCTGTCGTATGTCTCGTTCCTAGACGCTAATAGCGGGGAACTCAGTGCTCCAGAGACCGGCCCGCGACCTGATGCTGCCCTGGAGGCGTTTGTCGGCGGGATGGCCGACCTGGTCGAGGAGGAGGCGACGAAGAGGAGCCACTCTCCGCCGCCGCTGACCCCAGGTGAGTCCCACGCGCTGCCGCCGGGCGCTGGGTACTCACTGAGCACAGAGCACGTGTCCGCCGGGAGCCGGTCCCGTCAGCTTCTTCGTTGCCGGCTTGGGCCTGGTCTCGCGGGATTCGGGATCCGGCCCGTCTCCACCATGCAGTCCCGAATGAGTCCAGCTTCGGTGGAGAAGCGGTTGGTCCCGTCTTCGGACCGCCGTCCCTGTTGCGACACAGCGAGCACTCTAGGACCGGCTTATATTGTCCGCTCTTCCCGAACACCGATCGAAAAGTGTTTTATCCATCAGCCACGTGTTCTATATCCTTGCTCGTCTTGTAATTGCCGGTGGCGAAATAGCAGCGTTGAAGCATCTTCACTCCAATTGTTTATTCCAACACACAATATCGGAATGCAACAGGCTGCACTGATGCACAGCAGTTAGACCGTTGCTCCCACCGCTGCACTAATTCCTATGCATTTTATGTTATTTTTTATGTACATTCGCCTCGCCAGCTACAGCCATACCTTAGCAATGCCAGAACCGCATGGCACAAAGGAATTTCAGATACAGATTCGTGTATTTCGGCTTCATCTACACAAAGTGAGGTTTCCCAGTTTCCATGTACAAAGTGTGTGTTGAACTGGTGACGCGCACACATACACATTTACTCAACAGACACGCTCTGCCGTCCAAAGGCAAAAGCACGTAACTAGCACTTTCGGAACTTTACAGGAGAGCGTTTTTTTTCATGTTTTGTGGTAATAAGCACGATCTTCAGGCTGCGAATATACAGGCGCTGGCCAGACTCCTGGGTGGCCTTCAGCTTCGAGGCGCTGAAAACTTCCGACGACGCCTGCACGAACTGCTCAGGCTCGAGAGATGCAGTTCTGACACCGGAGCATCCATCGATCAGGTCGACGTAGTCGCCGAAGTCTTCGATCTTTTTTGCCTTCTTCAGTTTTTTGTTGATTGTTTGATGCGCAGCATCGGCGCTCATGCTGGTGTGGCCCCGTGTCAGGTATTTGATGGTGATGGTTTCTGCGGCTAAAGCGGTACTGTTTACCGCCTGCAGCAAAAACCCAAAGAAAACCCAGCACTTATTTTGCGAGCTGCAGTTGTCCGTGAATATGGTTACTTTGGTCATGTTTCTGTTGGCCGTTAGAAATGCCCAGTAGGCAGACACCACGTCCGCGGCGTCTCGGCCCGCCACCCCCTCGTGCCACAGCACTGCCAGCTGTGAGGACTGTCTCCGGTGTTTGTCTTTGTCTTTGGGCTGTAGCGGACTGAACGTCTCATTGAACGCCACGACTCGTCGAGTAAAGAAGCACAATTTTTGGGAAGCTGCGGGATGTAACTGACGCGCATCATATCTGCACTGACAACTATCTCTCCTTCTTCCCATTGCTTCTCTGCCTCTCGTCGGTATTCCGCTCTTGACAGCCTTACTTCTTCCATGTGTGCCTCTTGAGTCGTGCACACTACGCAGTCCTCCTGAGCGCACTCACCCCTTCTCTCTGCTTTATGAACCTCATGCTTCGTACAGGTCTCACACTCTTCACCCCCTAGCTTCGTAAAGCCGATATTCAGCTCCTTGACCACTTTCCGATAAGTTTCCATAGAACAGCTTTGATCCGGATGCGCAACTCTGAACTCTCTGTACATCTCTGATGTTGTTAAGTCATGTGGCAGGTACCTACGGTGTGGGGCGTGCATGTATCTGTAGTGTGGCGTGACGGGCTCGAAAGACAGAATGTGTTCTCTTATAATGTCTTTGTCTTTCTTGTTTGACGGGCGATGAGTTCCCCGCCGATCCGACGGTGCTGTGGCTTGGGAAGCGTTGCCTAGGGCAGTCCTTACAGGTCCGTCTGACCCAGAGTTCAAACCCATATTTATGTTGAAGCAAACGACAATGTTAGATATTTTAATAGTTATTAAAACATATGTTAAAAGTTAGAACAATATTGATGGTACGTTGAACAGAGCCACCTCAGGGCGCACAAATGCTGAAAAAGTCAGCAATAAAAAGGAAATATCGGCATTTCTCCAACTTACCGAAATCAGCGTATAGGCTCAGGCCTGCAGCAACTGAGCGGCTCAGCACCCGAGTTGCAATACTGACTGACATTTTCTTTAAAGGGACCCTCCCACCTTAACATTAGATTTGAGTTGAGATAGCCAAAATGGGGTCCCTGGCTCACAATTACCGGTTTCGGCACTCACAACATCGAGAAATGCCTTAAATCGGAAATATTGAATTTCAAAATTGCAGCATTTTGATTCAGAGGGGCTAATGCATAGGAATACCCCTCTGAATGTGTGACGTCATCGCAGATATCTAACGATTTTTAAATGTTTGACTAAAACGTTTTGTAGCACGCGGTGGTATAAGGTGCTTTGCGCGCAACAAATGCCGCACTTTCAAATAAAGTCGCTAGGAACAGCGGAGATCCCAAAAAGTAAACAAAAGTAAAAGTCTAATATCTTGAAAACCGGTGAATATTTTTTCGATGAAATTTGGTAGATATTCGTTTTTGCTCTTTCTGAACCGAGCGACATCACTTTCATGCCAATTCATTAACTTTTTTGAAGGTGGGAGGGTCCCTTTAAGGCATCAGGATGTAGATACACCGACTTCGGGACAGCTCGCAGCGATCTGCTGCGGTCGGCTTCAAAGAGAGCGACGATGTGACTCCAATTCGCCGTTCTCCCGTCCACCTTGATGTCAATAGTTCATCATCACGTTTCTGACACACTTGAAAAGGTGTGGCATATCAAAGAGCGCCACCACTCGCACATTGTCGTTGAGGAAGCTGTGGCTCCCATCTGTCATACCCAGCATCCTGTAGGTTTGCTGATTGGTGGCGCCCATGTCACAGACACTGGCCACCACCTTCATGCCAGCTTCTTTCAGCTTAGTGATGCAGTCCAAGAGCAGGCTCTTCAAGATCACTGCTTTCACTGGTCCATTTGATAAGAAGTAGCCCACGCTCTGCTTCCACCGACCAGTGACACCGCGCACCATGAACACAAGAGCATGGGTTGCCACTCCCGAGGACCGGCCCGAGGACCATTTATGACCAAAACACGCTTGAAAAACAGTGACATTTTTATTGAAATTTGCCACATTCTGTCACCAGAAAAGAAGAAAAAAAAACGATATATGTCACCGGCACTTGCCGCTTTGCCGGTAAGATTGTGCAGCTCTGCCGGCCCTCACAAACTGTCGGTCGAGAACTCTGGGGGCCACGGGCCCAGTATCGCCAGGAGGAGCTGAATACGCGGTGCTCATTGCTACGTCCCGTGGACAACTGATCGCTGCCTGCTGCCGTCATATGCCTGAGGTACCAACCATCCAGCCTCCCCCCCCCCCCCCCCAGGCTGGGTTGAGAGGAGCAGGCCTCCCACCCCGCTTATCTGTCATGTCCATATCCTTGGCATTTTTTTTTGCAGCGCCGAGGGAGTTGATAGGAGAGCCTGGCCTTATGACGCATGTAGACAGCATAGAAGAAACTCGGTAGCTGTCTGACAGTGAGTCAGACTTTCAGCAATGGGTTTGTTTTGTTACTCTTTGATGGAAGGCGAGCAATGCTGACTACCCCCTGATCACGATTTTCCTGGAGGAAGATTTGAGGTGTTTCTGATACTAGCTCCGGGGCGTATACGATGCCTTCCACCTGGTTGAGGCGGTCAGAGAGGATTCCGGAGATCTCCTCTTCAAACAATGTCCAGGCCGGAAGGGCATCTATTCTACGCGCCACATGCAGCTGCCGGCGCCGCTGCGCGTTGAGAGGTGGCCAACTGGGATTGCAGCGCGGCGGCCTCGCGGTCGGCTGCCTCCTTCAATTTCTTGAGAGCGGCGAGCTGAGCGGCGGCTTTGCCATACTGCTAACGGGCCTCTTCCATCTCCACTCGCACGCGCCTAAGATCATCGGCCATTCGGCCATTCTCCAGCCGGAGACGCGCGGAGCGACCGATACTGGCATCCAACCCGCTCGAGATGGCCTGCTCGTCATGGGCGGTGAGCGGGAGACACAGCGGCTGGGACGCGGCCAGAGTAGCGCGCGCAATCTGGATGGCGCCGCTCTCGCTGGCTGTCCAGGCTCTGTAGGACGAGCGATGGTCGAGGAACCAGGTGGCAGATAATTTGACCAGTCTGCGAAGCCGTTTTCCCATCGCCATTTTCGAGTGAATTCGCCGAATTTAATCAAATCACGTTAATTCGTAGTGGAAAATGGAAGCCTTTTCTCTCCGATAAGTGGACGCGATACCGCAAGTACCGGCACGTTATACGGTTTTTCTTCCGTAGTAGCGAGGGCTGCATTTATGCCCATGTATGGTCATCAAAAGTCTATTTATTGACCAATCAATTTTTGGATCTTCGCCTCGTAGTTTCCCCAACTGATGTTCGCCACCTTCCTCCAACACCAAACTCTCCATTCCGGATCAATGGCTTTGCCTGAGAGCTTTTCTTCTGAATTAGTTTTTTTCTATGCCTGAACATCTGCCTCCTTCATGAGATTTTCTTACATGCTGCTTCAGGTACATTTGCTTGCCTGTCCATTTGCACCCATTTTCACCACAGCTCACAACATTCCGAGACGGTGGACCCATAGCTACATCAAATGTCCCACATACACGCTAAATCCGAATAACACAAATTGTCTCTGCCACTGTATCTGCAGAGAAGCACACTTATTTCAATTTTCAAATCCACCGTCGTAGACGAATGCACATACGCGAGGAACTGGCGCGATTAATGAGAAGGAAAAACCTTCAAACCTATCAGCAAAGGAAAGTGTCACCTTTACACGATCTGCCGGCGGCATGGATTGACGGCGGGCGCGTTGGTGACAAGGGAAACCCCCATTGGGTGTCACCGCCAGCCGATGACAACGACACTTTCTGCAGCGCACGAAACGAATGGGTGAAGTTTTTCACTACCGGTAAGAAAAAAACTAAAACGTATAACTGTTGCTCTGCTAATAAAGTGCAACATTTATGACCAAAACACGCTTG